AAAGCCTCACTTATCGGCCATGTGTAAGATATTATATTTAAGAAGTAAGAAAAGATGATAGGAAGAGACAAGGGATACAAAGGACTTTTATAATTTTACTATGATTTAAATACTAGTGCCTCTTTGTGGGGGCAACAGATAATTTTGAGTGGTTTTGTTTTAAAAATTTTTTTCTTCATTTTTAAGTTACAGTGTGCATACAATGTTATATTAGTTTCAGGTGTACAATATAGTGATTAGACATTTATATAACTGCTGAGGTGATCATCCTGATAAATCTAGTACCCCATCTGACACCATACATAGTTATTATAATTGACTATATTCCTTATGCTCTACTTTACATCCCCATGACTATTTTGTAACTAGCAATTTGTACTTCTTAATCTCTCCTTTTTCATCCATCCTCTCCAACCCCCACTCCCATCTGGCAACCATCAAATGTTCTCTGTATCTATGAGTTTGTTTCTGTTGTGTTTGTTTGTTTAAATTGTTCTTTAGATTCCACATGTAAGCATGATCATATGGTATTTGTCTATCTCTGTCTCACTTATTTCACTTAGCGTAACACCCTCTAGGTCAATTCATGTTGTTGCAGATGGCAAGATTTCATTCTTTTTTATGGTTGAGTAATAGTCTATTATATGTGTGTGTGTGTATGTGTGTGTGTGTGACACACACACACCACCTCTTCTTTATCCATTTATCTATTGATGGACACTTACGTTGCTTCCATGTCTTGACTATTGTAAATAATGCTATAAGGAACATATGGATTCACATGTCCCTTCAAAGTAGTGTTTTGAGTCTCTTCGGATAAATACCCAGAAGTGGAATTACTAGGTCCTTGTCTCTTGTTATAGCCTTTGTTTTAAAGTCTATTTTATCTGGTATAAATATTACTACCCCAGCTTCTTTATTCTTCATTTTCATTTTCATGAAATATCTTTTTTCATCCCTTTACTTTCAGTCTGTGTGTGTCATCCAATCTGAAGTGAGTCTTTTGTAGGCAGCATATATAAACATCTTGTTTTCTTATCCATCCAGCCACTCCTCTGTCTCTTGATTGGAGCATTTAATTAAATGATTACATTTAAAGTAATCATTGATAGATATGTAGTAATTGCCATTTTATTATTCATATTTTTTATTCTTCTCCTCCTCCTCCCCTCTCCCTCCCTCCTCTTCCTCCTCCTCCTCCTTCTAAAAGTCCCTTTTAACATTTCTTATAATACTGGTTTGGTGTTGATGAATGAACTCCATTAGCTTTTTCTTATCTGGGAAGCTCTTTATTTGTCCTTCAACTCTAAATGATAGCTGTGCTGGGTAGAGTAATCTTGGTTGTAGGTCCTTGCTCTTTATCCCTTTGAATATTTCATGCCAGCCCCTTCTGGCCTGCAAAGTTTCTGTTGAGAAATCAGCTGACAGTCTTATGGGAGCTCCCTTGTAGATAACTAGGTGCTTTTCTCTTGCTGCTTTTAAGATTTTTTTCTTTGTCTTTAAGCTTTGGCATTTTAATTATGATGGGTCTTGGTGTGGGCCTCTTTGGGTTCATCTTGTTTGGGACTCTCTGCGCTTCCTGGTCTTGTATGTCTATTTCCTTTTCCAGGTTAGGGAAGTTTTCTGTCATTATTTCTTTAAATAGGTTTTCAATCCCTTGCTCTCTTTATTCTTCTTCTGGTACCCCTATGATGTGAATGTTGTTACGCTTGATGATTTTCCAAAGGCTCTTAAGCTATCCTTATTTTTTTTTAAGATTATTTTTTCTTGCTGTTCTGATGGGTGTTTTCTGCTACCTTATCTACTAAATTGCTGAATTGACCCTCTGCTTCATCTAAGCTGCTGTTGATTCCTTCTAATATATCGTTGTTTCAGCTATTCTTTATTTCTGACTGGTTCTTTTTTATATTTTGTATCTCCATTTTTATGTTTTTTATCATATTATAAAAGTTCTAAGTTCATCTACTCTTCTCTCAAGTTCATTGAGCATCCTTATAACCAGTGTTTCTAATACTGCATCTGGTAGATTGCCTGTCTTCATTTTGTTTAGTTTTTTCCTCTGGAGTTCTGTTCTTTTCTTTCATTTGGGACACGTTTCTCTGTCTCCTCGTTTTGGCTGCTCCCTGTGTGTGTTTCTGTGTATTAGGTAGAGCTGCTATGTCTCCTGTCTTGGTAGGGTGTCCTTATATAGTAGGTATCCTGGGGCCCAGTGTTGCAGTCTTCCTGGTCACCTGAGCTGGGTGCTCTTGGTGTGTTCCTTGTGTGGGTTGTTTGTGCCTTCCTGTTGTAGTTGAGCCTTAGTTGCTGTTGGCATGGTGGTGGGAGGGATTGACCCTCAGGGTGATTCGTTTGGAGGACTGGCCATGACCACAGAGGAGGAGCTATTGTGCAGGGGCTGACCCAGTGGAGCAGGATGAGCTCTAGTGGAGCTCTGGTGCCTGCCAAGTCTGCCCATTGGGTATGTCGTGTGTAGAGGTGGTTGGATGGTGCTCTGGTGTGATCTGAACCTGGACACCGGGTATGTTGGCTCTGGGCCTTCTTGGGAGGGGCTCTAGTGCAGGGCAAGTTCAGCTGCTGCTTATAGCCTGCCCAGGGCCACTTGGTATGAACTACAAAGTGATCTTCAAATAGTTGCTACTTGTCTAGGTCTGCAGGTATCTAGGAGAGGCTAAGCTGTGACCTGAGGCTGGCTGCTGCTAGTGCCAGGCTTGGGGCTGCTTAGCAAGAGGTACAAGGCACACCGAGGCCAGATGCTGCTTTTGGCAGGTTTGTGAACCTGTGCGAGATTTTAGGAAAGTTTGCAGCATGAGCCAAGATGGGATGCATGGAAAAGCCAGTGCAAGTGACTTGGATGGGCCTGCAAGTTGAGTGGGGTGGGGTCGCTGGGATTCATCAGGGTGGAGCAAATGGTGTTAGCTAGATTGAAGGAGACTCAGCTATGGCTCCCACCTGTACATGCAGGCCGGTAGAGGGGAGGGCTCAACAAAGGAACAATGGCTTCTGCTAGCACTTCTGTCTATGAGAAAGCTGCCCCTCCAGCCCTTGCCCTGAAGCCAGACAATCTAGATCCTCTCTGTATGTCCCTGGTGCCTTTCATGCTGCTGACCCAGAGCTGGAGCTCAGAGCAAGTGAGTCCCTCAGTGAGTGAGTCTGTGCCTGAGCTTTTTAGGAGAATCAAGTGGGACTTCAGCCACTCTTTTTCTCACTCAGTGACTATCTCTACTGTTTCACAGCCAGAAGTTATTGGACTTCTCTCCCTGTCCCTGGAACCCTGGGCTGAGCAGCGTGGTATGAGGCTGGGACCCCTCAATACTTGGGAGTACCTCCGCCAATATTGGAGATATTTCTCCCAATTTTTAACTGCCACAAGTAGGTGTGGGACCAGCCCATTTTGCCTCTCCACCCCTCCTACCAATCTCAACGTGGCTCTTTTGTATAACTTTAGTTACAAGGCTTTCGTTTGGCTGGACTTCAGGCGGTCCTCAATGATGATTATGTAATTTAGTTATAATTTTGAGGTGGTCGTGGAAAGAGGTGAACATGGTGTTTACCTACTCCGCCACCTTGACCAGAAGCCCTTGAGTGGTTTTGTTGGGTTACCACTGTGTGCAATAGCATAAATAAGGACTGATAGTTATTTCCTCAAAAACAAGGTTTTGTGATAGAGCTGGAGGCTGGGAAAGAGATGGAAACCTGAGCTAAAAACTGCAAGAATAGAGTACCTCAAGCTCAGGGTTGAGTGGATTCTTCTAAAATGTAGTTTTATTCAGGTGTCCCATAGCTTAATTTAAAGCATTTGGAAGATGTGAAGACTGAAAGTAGAGAAGAAAAATGCCAGACTTTGAGGAGGGTGGATGTGACCAAGATAACTGCTAGAAGACTAGAGCATACTCAAATTAGAGCTTTTAAAATGTAGATATATCACTCTTTGTGTCTATGAAGGAGCCATCCTTTATTACTTGGGGAAGGGGAGAGAGATGGTCACATCTGTGGTGTGACAGACAGTCATTTTTTAACTCAAAATAAATTCCATGGGTTAAATACTGGCTTCGGTTTATAAGAATGTTGATGGTGCCTGGGAAGTAAGGTGGGCAGTGAGTAGTTGTGAAGGTGAGGAGGAATTTCTGCTGTGAAATGCAAACTGTGTGGAATTCAAAGATCCTTATTCCAAGTCAAAAGCAATTTTTTTTTAAATTACGGTCATCATTGACATTAATCAAGCACAAATATTTTCCTATAGACCAAAAATTAATTAGCCCTGACAACCGAAGTCAAATCAGACCTTTGGGAATGACCTAATTGTTCTTTCTTGAGGGCTGGACGTTAGCTTGCCCTTGGTCATGGCGTCAGTCCTGGCAAAGGCGGAGGCCTCCCAATCTCTGTTAGGTGGGTTCCTTCTTGCCACAGAAAATGCAAAGGACAGAGTGGTTCGGTGAGGTCACAGTCCTCCCTGGTCATCTGTAATGCCTGCCATCCTGAGAATTTTGTGAGTAAACATTACCCAGATTCCTGCT